TACTTTGTAGGCCTACTTATGCATGGTTACTCTATAGGCTTATGTATGGCTACTCTGTAGGCTTATGTATGGCTACTCTGTAGGCTTATGTATGGCTAACTCTGTAAGCTTATGTATGGCTACTCTGTAGGCTTATGTATGGCTACTCTGTAGGCTTATGTATGGCTACACTGCTTATTAAGTATTTGACTTACTGTGGTACAGGAGTCTCTCTTTTAAAGCTAGTGGAATTTTTTGTGGATTGTGAAAAAGTGTGCAAGCACATCGCAAGCGATGTGCTTGCTTATGATTAAATAATAATAATGTAAAAAGTGCATTGAAAAATTAAGCAATATGCACTACGAGGCCTTGCAAGCACCTGTTTAACTTCGGTTCCAACACTCCACAAACGCTTTTAATGTGATCATACACCGACTACATTTGCCCACGTTTCGTCAAATTCAATGACTCCATTTCCTCGATTCCATTACGTCATTTTTCCAAATACGTACAGTGGACCCCCGGTTAACGATATTTTTTCATTCCAGAAGTATGTTCAGGTGCCAGTACTAACCGAAATTTGTTCCCATAAGGAATACTGTGAAGTACACGTAGATTAGTCCATTTCAGACCCCCAAACATACACGTACAAACGCACTTACATAAATACACTTACATAATTGGTCGCATTGGGAGGTGATCGTTAAGTGGGGGTCCATTGTAACTGATTTTTTAGACATTAGAATGCGAAACTGAGTTGATGATTCAAATTCTAGAATTGAACGTCATCTAGCTAAAATTTTTACACAAATTTACTAGACAATAACCCAAATAATTTTCTTATATTTAATATACTGACATATACATTTATTATACACTCATTGAAACAAGTGAATCGCAAGCATTTACAGTGTTTTACAGTGCTGAAGAGATACCGTAAAATACTGTAAATACGGCTTCTCCTCACTTAGCGACGTACAGTGGACCCCCGCATAACGATTACCTCCGAATGCGACCAATTATGTAAGTGTATTTATGTAAGTGCGTTTGTACGTGTATGTTTGGGGGTCTGAAATGGACTAATCTACTTCACAATATTCCTTATGGGAACAAATTCGGTCAGTACTGGCACCTGAACATACTTCTGGAGTGAAAAAATATCGTTAACCGGGGGTCCACTGTACTTGTTTACTGACTACTTCGACTTGTGATGGGCTCTCTGACCAGCATGCCTACTTAAATAATGTATATTAGAGCTGATTTCCTCTATTCTGTTCATTATAATATACAGTAAACTACTGTATAAACATTTAAAAATATACCAGAAATGTTATAAATTGTGCAAAGGTGACATTAAAACAATATCAGAGATGGCTGAAACAAAACCACTACCATTACCACTCCTCATTTAGCCACGAATTTATTCACCAACATGGTCTTAGGAACAGAACTCTATTGTTAAGCAAGGAGAAGCTGTACCATAAAATACCATAATGTAAAATACATGCGCTGTATTGTAAAATAGCATACTGTAAAATACTGTAAATACTGTACTGTAAATACTATACTGCAAAATACCATAAATACAGTGGACCCCCAGTATTCGATAAATCCGGTATTCGATGCATTTTATCGCAAAAATTTTGCCTCGGTATCCGATCGAAAACCCAGTATTCGATGCGATTCGTACGAGACGTGTCTACGTGTGGCCTGAACTGCCCCATGTGTGCCAGTGTTTACAAGCAAGTCAGTGTGCGCGCATCTAAGGATACATTCGGTACATTCCACATTATCACTGTTTTTGGTGCTTGTTTCTGCAAACTAAGTCACCATGGGCCCCAAGAAAGCTTCTAGTGCCAACCTTTCGAGAAAAAAGGTGCTAATGGCTATTGAAATGAAGAAAGAGATAATTGCAAAGTACGAAAGTGGAGTGCGTGTGTCGGAGCTGGTCAGGTTGTATAGTAAACCCCAATCAACCATTCTCCTACTATAGTGACCAGGAAAACGGCAATCAAGGAAGCTGTTCTTGCAAAAGGTGCAACTGTGATTACAAAACAGCGACCGCAAGTGTTAGAAAATGTTGAGAGACTGTTATTGGTGTGGATAAATGAAAAACAGATAGCAGGAGATAGCATCTCTCAAGCGATCATTTGTGAAAAGGCTAGGCAGTTGCATGACGATTTGGTAAAGAAATTGCTTGCAACTAGTGCTGATGTGAGTGAATTTAAGGCCAGCAAAGGTTGGTTTGAAAGATTTAAGAATCGTAGTGGCATACATAGTGTGATAAGGCATGGTGAGGCTGCCAGTTCGGACCAAAAAGCAGCTGAAAAATATCTGAGGGAATTCAAGGATTACACAGACAGTGAAGAATTTAAACCTGAACAAGTGTTTAATTGTGACGAAGCAGGCTTGTTTTGGAAGAAAATGCCAAGCAGGACCTACATTACTCAGGAGGAAAAGGCACTCCCAGGACATAAGCCTATGAAAGATAGGCTTACTCTGTTGATGTGTGCCAATGCTAGTAGTGATTGCAAAGTGAAGCCTTTATTGGTGTATCACTCTGAAACTTTCAGTGTGTTCAGGAAAAACAATGTCCTCAAGGCTTGTGTGTGCTGTGGAGGGCAAACAGTAAGGCATGGGTCACTAGGGACTTTTTCTATGACTGGTTACACCATGCATTTGCCCCCACTGTGAAAAATTACCTAATTGAAAAGAAATTAGACCTTAAGTGCCTCCTGGTATTAGACAATGCCCCTGGTCATCCTACAGACGTGGCAGAGCGACTTTCTGGGGACATGAGCTTCATTAAGGTCAAGTTTTTGCCTTCTAATACCACTGCTTTCCTGCAGCCCATGGACCAGCAGGTCATTTCCAACTTCAAGAAACTGTACACAAAAGCTATGTTTCAAAAGTGCTTTGTAGTGACCACAGAAACTCAACTGACCCTAAAAGAGTTTTGGAGAGATCACTTTAATATCCTCAATTGTATAAACCTTATAGGTACAGCTTGGGAGGGAGTGACTAAGAGGACCTTGAACTCTGCTTGGAAAAAACTGTGGCCAGAATGTGTAGACAAAAGGGATTTTGAAGGATTTAAGGCTAACCCTGAGAATCCTATGCCAGTTGAGGAATCCGTTGTGGCATTGGGGAAGTCCTTGGGGTTGGAGGTTAGTGGGGAGGATGTGGAAGAGTTGGTGGAGGAGGACAGTGAAGAACTAACCACTGATGAGCTGCAAGATCATCTTCAAGAGCAAGAGGCCACACCTGAGGAAACTGCTTCAGAGGAGGGGATAGAGAAATTGAAGAAGTTGCCTACTTCAAAGATTAAGGAAATGTGTGCAATGTGGCTTAAAGTGCAAACCTTTTTTGATGACAATCACCCTAACACAGCTATTGCAAGCCATGCTGGTGACTATTACACTGACACTGTTGTGAAACACTCTAGGAATGTCATAAAGGAACGGGAGGTACAGGCCACTATGGACAGATATGTTGTGCGATAGAAGTCCAGTGACTCTCAAGCTGGTCCTAGTGGCATTAAAAGAAGAAGGGAATTTATTATTATTATAATCAAAAAGAAGCGCTAAGCCACAAGGACTATACAGCAAGAAGAAGGGAAGTAACCCCAGAAAAGGACTTGCTACCTCAAGTCCTAATGGAAGGGGATTCCCCTTCTAAACACTAACACCTCTCCCTTCCTCCCATCCCATCAATCATCACCAGATCTTCATTAAAGGTAAGTGTCGATTATTCTATTGTTATTGTAATTATTCTATTGCATTAAACTTAATATTTCATGTAGTAAAATTTTTGTTTTTCATACTTTTGGGTGTCTTGCACGATTAATTTGATTTCCATTATTTCTTATGAGGAAAATTGATTCGCTTTTCGATATTTTCGGTATTCGATGAGCTCTCAGGAATGGATTAATATCGAATACCGGGGGTCCACTGTACTGTGAAACACTGTATTGTAAAATACGCACCATAAATATTGTATTGCAAAATACCACAAATACTGTACTGTAAAATACCTTAAATACTGTAAATTTACCCAGTGTCGTGGAGACCGAAGTACCGTTTATCTTTTTTTTTTTCCCAAATTTAGCCAATCAGAATTAGGATCTTGTTCGTCGCAAAATATGGTAATGTCCTTATGTACACGTGTATACAATAGGACCCCCATATTCGTGGATCTGTTTATTGCATTGCAGGTTTAAGTTTGGCTGAAATGCCTTGAAGAAGTTTGAATTTTCTATATTTCTGTACAATATGAAAATCAATTTTGAATTTGAATATAAAAAAACATTTGTGTTTGTAAATTGATGAAGTGTACCATTTGTGTGGGTAAACACCGTCGATCATGCTTTGCATTATACCGCGTTTGTTTCTCTTTCACTCGTTATATTGTGTTTCTGATGTTTTTAATATTGTTATATTGTGTTTGTGATGTTTTAATATTGTTATATTGTGTTTGTGATGTTTTAATATTGTTATATTGTGTTTGTGATGTTTTAATATTGTTATATTGTGTTTGTGATGTTTTAACATTGTTTATATTGTGTTTGTGATAGTTTTATATAACTGTAATATTGTGATGTGATGTTTTAATAATTTTAAGAAGTTTTCTGATGTTTTAACATGTTATATTGTGTTTGTGATGTTTAATATGTTATATGTGTTTGTGATGTTCTTAACATTGTTATATGGTTTGGATGTTTTAATATGTTTATTGTTTCTGATGTTTAACATGTCATATTGTGGGATGTTTTATATTGTTATATTGTGTTTGTGAGTGTTTTAATATTGTTATATTGTGTTTGTGAGTGTTTTAATATTGTTATATTGTGTTTGTGAGTGTTTTAATATTGTTATATTGTGTTTGTGAGTGTTTTACTAATGTGTCAGTGTTTAACCCCATAGGGAAGCTGTAAGCCCATAGGGGGTACATATACCACCTTAAGAATTGAAGGTAATCAGGCTTGATCCAAGGAAGCAGAGAGTAGCTCAAACTCCCTGGATGAAGAACCTTTTACCAGTGATGAAACACCCTATATAAAGGGTCTTATGTTCCTGCTCTATACAGAAGAATTTTATACAATGTTCAAAGTCTATATACAGCTCTGTATGACCCTTGTGGGTTTAGAGCTTAGTTTTGACTATTAAAAACTATAGAAAAAATAGCAAACTAATGCTTTTTTCGAAGATTTACTCATTACAAATATGCAACAAAAAAATCTTATCGTACCAGTAGTCGATTCTTGGCTCCGAACTTAATGAATTATCTTAAGCGTTTTTGACCGCATTAAGAGCATTTTCACACAGCACTAGCCTAAATTCCATTAACAGCATTTCCACACAGCAATGGCCAAATTTCCAGCGAAGAACATGTAGAGAAGATTTTTGACTTCGTAAGAAACTTCAAAACCAAACGCTTCTCCGACGACACAATGCCAGGTTGCTCCATAACGCTTATCCATTGTCTCCTTGATGACCCGGGCGGCACTCTGACAGCAGAGACAATTTATGTAGTGAAAATGTTTGTGAATAACAAAAATGCAATGCAGTAGAACCCACATATCCATGATTTTGGTTTCAGTTATCCATGGTTTACCCTGGCCTGAAAATAAGCCTTAATTTTGCTTAATAATAATGGAGACAAAGCACAAAAGTAGTGATGGTGACAGCTGTTCAAAGTAGTGATGGTGACAGTTGTTCAAAGTAGTGATGGTGACAGTTGTTCAAAGTAGTGATGGTGACAGTTGATCAAAGAGTGAGTGACAGTTGTTCAAAGTATGTGTATGGTGACGTTGTTCAAAGTAGTGATTGTGACAGTTTTCAAAGTAGTGATGGTGACAGTTGTTCAAATGTATGGTGACAGTTGTTCAAAGTAGTGATGGTGACAGTTGTTCAAAGTAGTGATGGTGACAGTTGTTCAAAGTAGTGATGGTGACAGTTGTTCAAAGTAGTGATGGTGACATTGTCAAAGAGGATGGTGACAGTTGTTCACAGTTTGATGGGGGACAGTTGTTCACAGTAGTGATGGGACAGTTTTTCAAAGTCTGAGAGAAGTTGTGAAGTTCTCCATCAGTGAAAAGTGAAAAACCCAAACTATTATGTTGATTTTCAATTATACTTATGATTTCAGTGATGAAGAACTTACAAACTTCTCTTAACTTGAACAAATGGTCACCATAACTTTGAACAACTGTCACCATCACTACTGTGAACAATTTGTCACCATCACTACTTTGAACACTGTCCCCATCACTACTGTGAAAAAAGTCACCACACTACTGTGGAACAACTTCCCCATCACTACTGTGAACAACTGTCACCATCCTAACTTTGAACAACTGTCACCATCACTACTTTGAACAACTGTCACCATCACTACTTTGAACAACTGTCACCATCACTACTGTGAACAACTGTCACCATCACTACTTTGAACAACTGCCACCATCACTACTTTTGTGCTTTAGTGTCATTATTAAGGAAAATTAAGAGTTATTCTCAGGCCACGGTAAACCACGGATAACTGAATGACTGGATAACTGAATAACTGGATAATTAAAACCACGAAAACCAAGGTTCTACTGTACAACACACTTTCTATAGTATAGAAACTGTAGTTTACAGCAATAAAGCAAGTTTATCTCTATAAACTGAAATACAGCATATTATAAAATTAAGGTGAATAAACATATACAAAATACTTTATAGGAAGATCCTTATGTGAGGAATTTTGGACAGCCATAAAACTAAATCATGATTGTATAAGAGAATAAAAATGTATAATTTTGGTCATATTGAACAAATTCTGGAAATAAAAAATAGTCAGTGATATATTAAGAATAGTAATAATCCAGGACCACAATGGTAGTAAGTCAAGGACCACAATGGTAGTAAGTCAAGGACCACAATGGTAACAAGTCCAGAACCACAATGGTAATAAGTCTAGGACCACAGTGGTAATAAGTCAAGGACCACAATGGTAACAAGTCCAGGACCACAATGGTAATAAGTCCAGAACCACAATGGTAGTAAGTCAAGGACCACAATGGTAACAAGTCCAGGACCACAATGGTAATAAGTCCAGAACCACAATGGTAGTATGTCAAGGACCACAATGGTAATAAGTCCAGGACCACAATGGTAATAAGTCCAGGACCACAATGGTAATAAGTCCAGGACCACAATGGTAATAAGTCCAGGACCACAATGGTAATAAGTCCAGGACCACAATGGTAATAAGTCCAGGACCACAATGGTAATAAGTCCAGGACCACAATGGTAATAAGTCCAGGACCACAATGGTAGTAAGTCCAGGACCACAATGGTAATAAGTCCAGGACCACAATGGTAATAAGTCCAGGACCACAATGGTAATAAGTCTAGGACCACAGTGTTAATAAGTCAAGTGTACCAATAAGGTAGGATGTGTTATATCCATCAATGGTATTATTATGACTTGATCATTGTAGGTGTCTTGGTAATAGTAAGTGTTGGGTTGATGGTAGGCGAGGTAGTCAGTGACTGTAATAACCATGGGTTGCAATCCCAGTAATGCTCGTTACAAGTGTCATTTACCTCATACGATTATGTATGTGTACAGTAGCAAGTGTTTAAAAGAACCAGAACCACATTTCAAGAAATTCTACATCGCTCTTTGTTAATAAATGGCTACTGGACAACCCATAATGATAGTTTTCTGCAAGTCTTTTTATTTCTATCAAGATTATTACATTTTGTTTTGCCAAAGGAATGTATGGATGTGTATATACATAGTATGTATACAGGAGGGCCCCAGTATGTATACAGGAGGGCCCCAGTATGTACAAAGGAGGGCCCCAGTATGTGTACAGGAGGGCCCCAGTATGTATACAGGAGGGCCCCAGTATGTATACAGGAGGGCCCCAGTATGTATACAGGAGGGCCCCAGTATGTATACAGGAGGGCCCCAGTATGTACACAGGAGGGCCCCAGTATGTACACAGGAGGGCCCCAGTATGTACACAGGAGGGCCTCACTTATACACCAGGTTAGGTTCCAGGTTACTGCTGTAAAGTGAAACATGCCCTTTTTTTTAACTTTCAAATGCATATAAAAGCCTGATAACATGTTTACACTATCATATATTAAGCAAGGAATAGAACTAGGCCTAAAAAAATGAATATACAGAACACACATTACTTACCTCACAATATTTTCATCCATAGCTTATAACGAGTGGTGAATGTTGTAGCAAGTCTGAACACATGAAGAATGGCTAGAACTGAAAACTGCTGTATTTATGAAACACCGTAAAGCAAAGCTCCATAAAGTGAAGCGCTATAAACCAGAGTGCCGTGAAGCAGGGTCCTCCTGTACTCACCTCATTATTGGTCTGGTGTTTTTCGCACGCCGTCACTATCAGTTCCATTGTCTCCGTTTTCATCTCCTCCGACATGTCGGTGTGCTGGAAACACCGGAGAATCAATACCTCTATTTCAAATTCAAATCCTCTGTCTCTTACAGGTACAAAATTAATGTAATTCATGTGTAAGATGTGTAATTCACATTTAAGACATGTAATGAAATTATATGTAGTCAAAAAGAAGTGCTAAACCTACAAGATTTAGCGTAATGCAAATCACGTGTAAATTAATTCATGTGTAAAGTAATTAACATGTAATACAGTCAAGAACTACAGTGAAAAAAATTAGCAAAATTCCATGAAAGTGCTTCAAAATTCGCCATTTTTTCCACTGCGGTTATTTCACATGGTACAAAATACTATTTTACGAACAAGTCAAAATAAAAGTTCCACAAGGCAGTATCCTGGGTCCATTTTTTTTTTTATTATTTCTTCTTTATTACTCTTATTACTACTACCTGGGATATACCTGAGTTATATTTGGGTTTATACCTGGGATATACCTGGGTTATAAATGAGATATGCCTGGGATATACCTGGGTTATACTTGGGACATACCTGACATATACCTGGGACATACCTGGGTTATAGCTGAGATATACCTGAGATATACCTGGATTATACCTGGATTATACCTGGATTATACCTGACATACCTGGATTATACCTGACATATACTTGGATTATACCTGGGATATACCTGACATATAAGAACATAAGAACGAAGGAACACTGCAGAAGGCCTACTGGCCCATGCAAGGCAGGTCCAAGTCTCCTACTGGCTTAAGCCAATGCACCCAACCTAGTCAGGTCAGGTCACATTGACTTAAAACCCTTTGACTGTTTCCGACGTATAAATACGTCTTACGAGCCAATGTTTCTGACGTATTTATACGCACAAATTCTAGTGGCTTCAAATCGAGCGCCAAAGGCCTGGTAGGCCTACACGGGAGAGAATGGGTCTCAGTGGTCGGTGTGCACCCTGTGAAAAAAATCTGGGACCCAGGTTGCATTGTGGGAACGCCATGTTGTCAGTCCATTTTCACCATGCCTCTCGGTAAGAAGTTCCTCACTCCTCGGCGGATTGGAGGTCTTTTGTTCCCAAGTGATAGCTCTAACAGCGATGAAAATGTCAGTGACAGTGAATTCAAGGGTTTTCAAGTGAGTGTTACCGAAAAAAGTGCCCAGGATAACGTAAATAGTGACGAAAACCCAGATGACCCACAACCTTCGACCTCTGTGCTGTGCCGGCTTGTTCACGTTCACGTTCCCCTGTACCAGGACGAAAGAGGAAACTATTTGATCGTGTACAACACCCTGATGATAGCAGTGATAGTGATAGTGATTTCAAGGTCATTGAAAGCAGTTCTAGTGACAGTGAGAGTGAATATTCCCCAGTGAAGCGCCAGTATGTACGACGTAGTATGCGGTCTGGTAGTTTTCATATGTTGTTCCAAGGGGAAGGAGAAACTCTGGGAGCACATCCCGTGGCCCAACACCACGACCTGATAGTGAAGATGACGATATTGTAACGATGGGTATGAATGGTGACAGTGAGGGAGGAGGCAGTGGTGGTGATAGTGAGGGTGGCACGGCCCATGTGGCACCATCACCGGCCACGCTACTAGCCACGCGCTGACTAGCAGACAACCACCTCACCCTACCCCACACTGCCACAACCTGCACCACCAAACCTGCACAGCCACAACCAGGGTACAATATCCAACCCCACCAGCAGCCCGCATCTGGATGGCAGACGGTGACGATTTGTTCCCAGTCCCCATGACTTTGATAAAACAAAGTGGAATAAAGCCATCTGTCCACTGGGAACAATGCCAGTGAACTGACTGCTGATTTATTTTCGATGAACCCTGAGGACATCATGTCAGGGAAACAAAACAACTGGATACACCAGGGCAATACCATTCTCCACCAAAATCACGGCTCCCACAAGTGGAAGGACACACGGTGGCAGAGATACCTTTTTTGCCACAATCATGCTTATGCCACATGTGTATAAGCACACGGTACACTGTTCAACTGCTCCCACACACATAAGGGGGATACCAACAGACCCCTGCAGTCTTCAAGCTGGCACTGGACAACCCACCTAAAGTCAGTTCCGGATCAGCCGGGCTGTGGGCTCTAAGTTGGTTTGCGATGCAGCCAGCAGCAACAGCCTGGTTGATCAGGCTCTGATCCACCAGGAGGCCTGGTCTCAGACCGGGCCGCGGGGCGTTGACCCCCGGAAACTCTTCCAGGTAAACTCCAGGTAAACATACTGGAACAACAGATCGCCTGATTTCAACTCCAGGTTTTAGTGACATTATAGGTGTCAATCGTTTCCTGATACTGTTACGTATGTTACACTTTCAGACAAAACCAGGCCTGACAGAAGCGACAGGTTATATAAGATAAGAAATGTGTTTATGTACCTGAAAAAAAAAGTGCTGCATGTATTTTATCCCTTCAGGAAGCTTGTTTTTTGATGAGTCCTTGATTTTATTCAAAGGAAGACTCTCATTCAAGCAATATATACCAAGCAAGAGGAAACGCTTTGGTAATAAAGCTATTTGTACTGTGTGATTGCAGAAGTGGTCTTGTTTTAGATATTATTGTTACACTGGCAGTAATACTTTGAGAGATACCATGAAATTATTGGGTATCTCTGGTGATGTGGTTCGAACAATGATGGAACCATATCTTGGTAAGGGCATATGTTTTTTACTGATAACTGTACACAAGCCCCTTACTCAGTGATTTCTTGCGAGTGAAACTTGACAGACGTGTGTGGCACAGTGCGTGGTAATCGCAAACATATGCCAAGGTTCGACGCTGGCACTCGCAGAGGTGAGGTGCAAGCCTTTGCTGCCAAGACATCATGGCATTTCAGTGGCATGACAAACGTGATGTCACATTGTTGACATCAGTTCACACAAACGAAATGGTACCCGTGGCAGGGACAACAGAGAGACCAATGAACCCATTCTAAAGCCTGCAGCTGTCATGGACTACAACCTCAATATGCGCTTAGTGGACAAATGTGACATGCAGATTGGGTTTGCAGACTGTGTACGCAAGAGTTATAAGTGGTATATCAAACTTTTTTCCATCTTGTTGATATCTCTATGCTAAATGCTTATAACATATACAAGTTGAAGACCAACAAAACACCAAAATATGGTGAATTTTGCCTGTCAGTAATCAGACAAATAATTGCAAAGTACCAAGGAGCAACTCCTGCAATAGACCAGCGCCCACAGACGTCATCTCGTATGAGGCCTGGTGATCACTACCCCATACAACTGCCTCCTAAATACTGCCAAGAAAAATGCTCAGAAGAGGTGTTTTTGTATGTATGCATACCACAAAACGCCCACAAAAACGCAGAGACACTCGTTTTATGTGTGAGGAGTGTGAAGTGCCCCTCTGCATATACCCATGTTTCAAAGAGTTCCACAAGCTGCAGCAGTTCTAGGAACGTGGTTAGTGACTGTACATATGTATATATATTATGGAACAATAGTAATAAAACATGTTTTGTATTGTTTGTTTGTGTAAACAAAGTGTATACACAAACTAATAGTGATAAAGTTTGTTCTGTTATTGTGTTGTAAATAATGAGTGTATATTTGAAACAATGCAACCTTACATTGGTCTCACAGGCCACATAAGTTACCTGGAAAAGAAAAATATTGAAAAATGCAAGAAACTTTTGAATTAGAGTAAATAAAAGAATACCAGGTGGGCGGCAGTCGCCGCTGTTGCCGTACGCACGTCAATTTCTGCAAACTTTGCGGCTCTATATCTCGGTAAGTACTGATGGCAAAAATTTTTTTTAGGCTTAAAACACTAGTAAAAATATTCCTAACATTTTCATAAGAAAAAATAATTTTTGTTTTTTTCGAATATTTGGCGACATAGAATGACAGTTTCAGAGAGGGGCCTGAAACAGTCAAAGGGTTTTAAGGGAGGAACACGGCAACCGACCTGGTAGCACAAGCTATCAGGTCCAACTCACACCCACCCACATCCACTCATATATTTATCCAACCTATTTTAAAGCTACTCAACGTTCTGGCCTCTATAACTGTACTTGGGAGTTTGTTCCACTCATCCACAACTCTATTACCAAACCAGTACTTTCCTATATCCTTCCTGAATCTGAATTTTTCCAACTTAAAACCATTGCTGCGAGTCCTGTCTAGGCTAGATATTTTCAGCACACTATTTACATCCCCCTTTATTTATTCCCGTCTTCCATTTATTTCACCTCAATCATATCCCCCCTAATTCTACGTCTTTCTAGAGAGTGCAGATTCAGGGCCCTTAGTCTATCCTCATAGGGAAGGTTTCTGATACATGGGATCAACTTTGTCATCCTCCTTTGTACATTTTCCAGAGCATTTATATCCATTCTGTAATACGGTGACCAAAACTGTGCAGCATAATCTAAATGAGGCCTAACCAAGGATGTATAGAGTTGAAGAATAACCTGAGGACTCCTATTATTTATGCTTCTTGATATGAAGCCAAGGATTCTATTAGCTTTATTGCGAACACTTATGCACTGTTGTGTTGGTTTCAGATTACTGCTAACCAGAACTCCTAAATCTTTTCGCAACTGTAATATTAAGATCTACATTATTTAGTTTATATGTGGCATGGTTATTGTCCTGTCCAACATTTAGAACTTTGCATTTGTCTATATTAAACTGCATCTGCCACTTCTCCGATCACTGCATCAGACTATTCAAATCTTCCTGGAGTGCTCGAATGTCCTCGTCAGAATGAATTCGATGGCCTATTTTGGTGTCATCGGCAAACTTGCCGATGTCGCTCTTTATGCCCTCATCTATGTCGTTTATGTAGATTGTGAACAGCAGGGGGCCCAACACTGACCCCTGTGGAACACCGCTCGTGATGCTTCCCCACTCTGATTTCTCCCCATTTATGCAAACTCTCTGCTGCCTATTTGTCAACCATGCCTCTATCCAGGAAAAAATTTCTCCTCCTATTCCATGTGCCTTAATTTTCCTCAATAGTCTCTGATGTGGGACCCTGTCAAAAGCCTTACTGAAGTCCATATACACAATATCATATTCATTACCATGATCTACCTCCTCAAATACCTTAGTGAAAAAAGTTAATAAATTCGTAAGGCAGGAACGCCCCTTTGTAAAACCATGCTGAGATTCGTTGATTAATTTAAAGCTTTTCAAGGTGGCTACGAACTGCCTCGGCAATTATTGATTCCATAAAATTTTCCCACTATGGAGGTTAGGCTTATTGGTCTATAGTTCGAAGCTAAGGACCTGTCA